TCTTGGTCCCCATTTTCATGTCGCCAAGCTTTTATTGCCACTTCAATTACAGCTGGCACCCGACAGGTATGGCCACCATGATGGGAGGCAAGGAGATTCACAATCAATGCCAGCACGTATAAACACGCATGATCTTCTCTTTATGGCCAAGCTTGTATTGCCACTTCAAATTCATTGCATAGTACGGAAGCAATTACATAATTAGGAGTTAATTACTGATAATCATGCTAATTCTACCAAAAGGGTTTTCTTATAAATTCTAATTATTGAATTACCGATCGAGTCCATTCTTTCTTAGAAGTCATTTGGAGAGAAAAATATCCAGTTAGTGAAGAGAAATTCTAAGAATCACTTAATGCCATGAGGCAATGAAAGAAGTTATTTTAATAATTATTCCTACTAATTATTCATTAAAAGAGAATTAATATTGTATTAAGTATAGGCCTAGTGCTAGGGCCGGATTGGTGGAGTAATGTACAGTCCACTCCACCATGAGCTCTCGATATTTTACTGTTTTGGCTGAGATTATGATGCTCCTCCTTCTTCCTCCCTTTTTTTTCTTGTTCTTGTTTTTGAGCAGTTAACCATTTTTGGAACTATTTAATTTCTTTTCCCTCGTTCCTCTGGCAATCAAGGATATATTACTTTATTTAGCTAGCTTTTCCAATCAATCACCTGCAAGCACATGGTGCTGATAGCTCTAAATTTACCAAAAATATTAACACTGGCCAGTGGCCACCCCCACTTGATTATTTTATTTATTTTTGTCAGAACCCTACTTGCAGTTCTTGAATTCCCAGCAACAATAACGCAGACAATTTAACAAAAAAAAGAAAAAAGAAGATAATAATAATAAAATATCGTGATCAATCAAGGTAATTAATGACAAGGGAAGTGCAAAATCAACCCTGCCCTGTGAGAAGATGGACTCCGATGCTAGTTCGACACGATCTTAATTAATCAAAACAACTCCTGAGATCGTTCTCTTCTGGTGGTGGCTACAAAAACAAAGAAACGAGACTTCATCATCTCGATCACAATTTTTTAATTATTACACTCCTTGAGAAGAGCATATAGATTATGCAGATAAAAAGCATTAATTGACTGCTTGCTTGCTGATATATTTTTTTTTTTTTATTTATTTGGGGTGTCCGGGCCAGCTTGTGCGCACCACGACTAATCCCCACGGCCCACTAAACACCCTGCAAACCCAGTAAACATATAAGATATCACGGGGATGACAGACATGCACGTCAGAGCTCGAACCCAGGTGCAGTGGAAGAAGACAAGCCCCTTCCACCACTAAACCAAGTCTTGGAATGCACTTGCTGATATTTTTATTTAGCTGAGAACGTGCGAGAAGATGCATGAAGGAAACTATTATACAAGCTCTCAGCAGAAACTTGTCCAGATAAATCTATACAAATTAAAAGGAATGTGATAATTCTTGTTCACGAACGTGTTCGTTTATCGTAGATGATGGCGTGGATGAATGAAATTCATGTGAGGGTGCGAAGGGCGAACTTTAAAAAGTAAAACGACAGAAATATTTCAGAAATTCTGTGCGCACAAATTAAAGTCGGCTTGACATAACATTTCAAGATTTTATGTTCCCTTCAAGCATGGGAAAAGAGACTCTTTTTCTATACGGGGTAGTTCAAATAGTTCTTCATCCTCAATGGTGCTGAAATTTATAACATAACCATATGTATTAAATCCAACTAACCTGATGGGTTCTACTTCAATTAATTGATTTGATGACTGAATAAATCCGAGTAAAGTAAAAAATTAAAATAAATAAAAATTTGATAAAATCTAGTTTATTTTTTGGATTGTCTCGTGATCCAACAAAATTCTAATAAGATTTATTTTTTTTAAATATGTTTTTTTTAATTAGAGATTTTTTTATATTTTTAATTAGTTATTAACTATTTTCAAAATTTACTGTATAAATAGTAGAAGAATATTTTATATATATATATATAAAACTTATATTCATACAAATTATTTTTTAATTTTTTTATGTTAAATATTAAAACTTTAAATATATATTTTTTAAATTTTTTTAGATTAACCGAGTCAGCCAGTATAATTCAAGACTCGACTCTTTAATTAGTTCAACTCTTGATTGAGGTTTAATATCTATGATCCAAAATTAAGTGGAGAAAAAGAAACTCTTTAAATTAGACCCAAAAAAATCTTGTAAAATCAACAGAAGCATGGGCATACACCCATGCACTGGGCATACGTGTTGTCAGGGCACGCTCCCCGCTGGTGGTCGAGTACCTTAGGTGTTAGGTGCACGCTCACCTCTTGGCTGGGAGTGCTGCCTAGCAAGGATGCTGAACATGCATCTCAATATCTTTTTGGGCTTAGATGTGCCCTAAGCTCAACACATCCAGGTTTAGATGGGTTTCTCAAACCTAACATGTTTGAATATATACACCATGTTTGGATTTATGATTTTATTTTTAATAATTATTAAATATTATTTATTACTAGCAATCATTGAGCTTTTTATATCTAGCGAACAACCACCTAGTTAGAAATAATAAATTAGGATGAGATTATCTAATTATTCAATGCGTTAGACTTATTTCTAAGCTATCTGGATCTTGGAGCTTGTCATTACCCATCATCAATGTATCAACTTGATCGATGTGTCAGCCTATGAATGGGTAGATAAATTTGGCAAATCTTGAGCAGGTGAACAATTTGCCTGGTCAAATATATTTATTTCAGTAGGTTGGCTGCTGGGGTTTCCTTCCTTCTGCAGAAATTACTTTCATTTAACTTTCCAGCTGCTATAAATCTATATGGTCTGGTGTGTTGCGAACCACATATTTAAAAATGTTTAATTAATCAACACGTTACCGTATAGACTCTATAGTGAGATTAAAAAGAATTATAAATTATAAATTTAAATCTTGTAATTGGAAAAGCTAACTTGAACTCGAACTTCTACTTTCTATATTTATATTTATCCCTGGGAGACCAGGCAGATAGCTCAGCATAACGTGTTTGCCATTTAAGAACATGCATGTTTGACATTTGAAGAGCGCCGAGGGGCAAAATCTTGAGAAGCAAAAGCTGGAAACCAGGCTTTTATGAAGACAGAGGGGGGAAATCTACAGGAACACAAGTGGCCATTCTCAGGCCACTACTGTCATGCATTGATTATCTATCCATCCATTTAGAGGAGACAAACATGGATAATTCTCCGATCTCTCCCCTTCCTCTTAGTTTTTGCTCTAGTGGGGTTCTCTTGGATCCATGTTTCCCCTTGAAGACTGCAGCCATTCATGGAATACCTTGAATCTGGGCTCCTTGGTCAACAGCAATCAGCAAGTCACAGCAACCAGCCCACTTAACCTAGCCATTCCTTCATTATTGCTAGGAAAATTTCTTTAAACCGTGGTACAACTAATTACATTAAATACCTTTCAAGTAGTATGCCTGATGCATAAAATACAAGATGAACTCCTTAAAGGAACCATGATAACCTGCATAAAAAGAACAAGAACGCTTGCTAGTAAAAGTATATTATAAAAAAAAGTATATTATAAAGTTCAATTTTTAAATAATTTAATATTAAAAAATAATAAAAGTATATTATAAAGTTTAATTTTTAAATAATTTAATATTAAAAAATAAAATAAAAAATAATTCAAGTTCCTTGAGCTCAAGATAATCTCTTGAAAAAAAAAAAAAAACTTTATAATGGCTAATCCCTAACAACTCATAGGTAAAATAAAAAATATTAAAAACAAAATCAATTAGAAAAAACCACCAACAAACTTGAGCAAGCTTGTCAAATTCTATAAACCAGATTATGAAAATGAAATAACCTAGCAAAAAATAAAAATAAATAAATTATAAAGTTTAATTTTTAAACCAATCTAATATTAAAAGCCAAAACAAATAAATATTCAATCTTACAAAAGCAATTCATTTAACAAACTCGAGTTAACTCATGTTAAATCAAATTTATAATTTAAGTTATAAAGTCATAAAAACTTCATAAAATAAAAAACAAAAAAAATTATGAAGCTTAATTTCCAATAAATTTAGTTTTAAATAATTCAATTTTAAAAATATTATAAAAAAAATCTAAAAATTTGATATTAAACTATTCTAACCTTTCAAACTTATAATCTAAATCATAAAAATAAGATCGTCTAATTAAAAAATTATAAAATTTTATTTCTAATAAGTCCATTTAATTTTGGCTAGGATAATACAAATTTCAAGGAGGAAAAAGAAAAATAAATCGGATCCCCACTCTGCCATGCTAGCTGGTGAGATCTTCATGTTGTTTAAGCTAGCATTGAATGTTGTTTAAACTTCAAGTACTTGATAGCGTTTATCTTAAGCACACAGTATCATTGTGGAAAAACCCTGTATTTTGATTGTGAGGGGAGTCGTCGTATTGCACATTTCTCTGCTGTGGCATTGGTATGGCTCGTCACCAGAATTCCTTCTCCTCCAGATCACGAGGGATCAACTTTGCAAGGAAAATCAGGCAAAATTCGATTGACGAATTCATGCTTTGTATATCCAACGAGTGTATATACATGAAAGGAATCCATGATGTAATCTGTATCTCAATCCTTGCGCTAATTTTACATGTTGGAGATTTGTGAATTGTTTAGCACGATATAAAACTTGAACTGATCAATAACGTAGCCCAATTTTCTTTTCTTGTTTAATAATTGTTAATTAATGGTTTAATGAATATCATCATGAAGAAAAGATGGCCGTGATAAACAAAAAGATGTTCTGGGTTCGACAACGGACTCCTCTTGGACTGAGCTTGAACGGCTGCTATTTTCTAATTGTCTTGTCCTAGTTGGGTAAAAGTCTAGCCATGTCCTACGATAGTCTGGTTTTGCTATCATTTGAACAATCTTGGTTTTTTCTTCTTTTCTCATTTACAAGTCATTGATAATGGCCAACGAACTTAAATTTAACGGCGATAGGGAAAGGTAAACATCATGAGGTGTTATAAAGCAATGAAGAGCTCGCCTTTCCTTTTGCTTCATGGTTATCAACGAATTATGAGTAGATACATGGCAGCAAGCCCCAAAGCAAAATATATTCCTATAACTATATACAAAAGTATGATGGCAAATTCTTTTAGGAGATATGGACGTACACCGCTGTACATGACTGTGCAAGCTGGCCAGACAGACCAGGCTGTGCTTGGGACTGCTTGCGACGAGTAATTGGTAACCTTCCCCAAAATCTACAACTATGAGGAAGCGACATGTTTCTTGTGGCAAGCCATGAGCACTCTACTGAAAAATCATCATCTCTCAACACCATCCTGCCTTTTCTATGAGTTGCAGGAGACCCTTAATGGTCACTTGTAACTGTACGTGGGTTCTGCAAGATATTGGAGTACGGGACACCTGTTGTTTGCTTTTGATACAGTTTCTATAGGTTTCCTACTGGTATTTGATTTTCCAGTCTCTTTTTGGCTGGCCATTTCTTTTTTGATTATTGTACCAAGAATTCTACCTGCCTCTTCTGTCATTCCAGCAGCGCACCATGCTTCGGTAACAAGCAACATGGTCGATTTCTCAGGCTGAACCTCAAATTCTGTCATAACCTGGAGAATTTCTTCTGCCTTCCAAGGCTGCTTGGCTTCAGCAAATCCAAATCAGGGTCTCGAAAGTCTTCAAATTAGGAGTGATTCCATGTTCACATATCTTGTAAAAAATTCTAATTGCATATTCTGCCAGCATTGCACCTGCCACTGATAACAGTCTGCACGAATCGAAGCACTTCTGCATGATCAAAGCAGCCAGGAGAGTTCTGTATGATATTAGTCCAAGCACTATCTTTTACAATAAAAATAATCATTCTAATTTTTGTTCAAATAGACTTCTATAAAGCCATTTCAAGTTTCTTATTGGATTTATCCTTGCAAAAAGCCCAGATAAAAAAGTCCATGAAACTGAAATCTGAGAGAGTTTTCACTCACTATCGAACTCACCTTCTGTTTATTTTTTCCCATTCAATGAATGAGACATGAAACAGACACCCCCCCAGCCATTCAATCAATAAGTTTCTACAGCCCTATAAAATGTCTGATTTCTCGTGAACCTCTTTTCTCATTCTTTGTACACCCTTTTTCGTCGTCTTTTTTCTTTTATTTGAGGTTTTGCTGAGTTAACTACCCTAATTTTTGTCGATTCTTTTTGGATTTTTGAGTGTTAACTTATAAATATTTCATTTTTTTATATAAATTGTAATAATCTCTCTAATATATTATGAATCTAGAGAAACCATCCAAAAAATTAAACATTTACCATCCTCACCCAAAAAATCAGACTTTTCTTACACACTACAGCACAGCAACATAGACCTCTCATATCCCAGCTCAAAATCTTTCTTGTAATGTAGATATGAGCATAAAAGTTCCCTGAACTGCATGCTATCCTCAAGTACTTTCCACACAAGTTTGTACATCCAACTCTATGATTAAAAAAATAAAAATCAGATACTTGGATGTACTAGAATTTCCTTTCCCAAGCATATGAAAATTCCCATAATTGATCATTCACACACACACAGAGACTCAGAAAAAAAAATGCCCAAGAGGACAATATAGATCTTCACAGACTCAAACAATCAGTGAAGCTCAGCAGCACAAAAGATTGAAAGGCAATGATCTTTTTAGGAAACATAGTGTTGGTGAATTGCATAACAACAGCAATATTTTGCTGGCTACAGAAAACATAATATAGAAATCTGATCACAACCATTCATCACGACAGAAGTGTTTGTGAGTGTGATAACAGTTGTTTTTCAAAATATTTTTCGTTCAGAAATACATTAAAATAATATTTTTTTTATTTTTTAAAATTTATTTTTGATATTAACACGTCAAAACAATCCAAAAATATAAAAAATAATTTTAAACAAAAAAAAAAGAATTTTGACCAACCTCTGTTTGGGCCTCAATCCCAAACAGACACTCACACAAACTATTAGTTTAGCAATTGCAATGATTTGGTGCCAAGTAACTAGTTTCATTGTTAAGATATTGACAAGGTTGAACTAAAAATTAACTTGCATGTTGACCAACAATTACTTAATATTTGTCAGCATGGAGAAATAAAAATTTACATCACCTTTTCACCATGACGAACTTCACATAATCCTGCATGCTCCTTCAGAACAAGATTGTCTTCATTAGAAAACAGATCTTCTACCAAGTTGTGGTCCCTGCTTGAAATAAAAATTTACATCACCTTTTCACCATGACGAACTTCACATAATCCTGCATGCTCCTTCAGAACAAGATTGTCTTCATTAGAAAACAGATCTTCTACCAAGTTGTGGTCCCTGCTTCTGCAACAAAACCTCTGTCTCTCATTTCTCCAATAAGTTGTGCTGCCCTTGATTCATCCTTGTGCTGGAGAAATCCTCGAATAATAACATTATAAGAAAATTCATCCGGAGGGCAGCCATCCCCTTCCATATTTCGGAAAGCTTCCAATGCTTCATCTAACAACCCTTCTTTACAAAGATTATTTATTATTGTAGTGTATATCTGAACATTAGGCAGCAATCCTTGGACAAAGAGTTCTGAAAACAGTTTCCTTGCATCTTTAAGATTCCCAAATTTGCACATGGCATCGATCAGGATGTTATACATCGCTATATCAGGCTTCAAGTAAGTACTTTGCATTGCTCGAAATAGTCTGAATGCCTTACCAAGATACCCTTCTTTGCAAAAGCCATCAAGCAACATCGAGTAAGTAAATAAATCTGGGAGATTGCCATTAGTGTGCATATTCTTGAAAAGATCTTGTGCTTCCCTAAGTCTGCCTAACTGGCACAAGCCATGAATAAGAGTGTTGTAATTAACATTGTCCGGGGTTAAGCCTTGATGAATCATTTCATTAAAAAGCTGCTTGGCCTCATCTATCCTTTTGGCCTTACAGTATCCTTTAATTAGGATGTTATAACTAAAAACATCAGGTTTACAACCCTTGGTTATCATGGCTTCAAACAGCTTTCTAGCTTCAACAATTTCCATCCGCAAGGAATATCCATACATCAAAGAACTATAAGTAACAACGTCAGGCTCCACACCCATTTCAGTCATTGTTTTAAACACTCCTTGAGCCTCTGAAACCTTGCCTTCTTTACAGATTGCATCAACTAGCACGTTGAAGGTGAAAATATTTGGCATGATATTCAAACTCCTCATTTCATTTAGCAATGCCGAAGCCTCCTTCCATCGCCTGAAATTGCATAAGCCCTGGATTAAAGAGTTATAAGTGAAAATATCAGGGGAAATGCGTTTAGCCTTCATATAAGAGAAAATATCTAAAGCCTCATTCACCAGCTTATCTTTGCAAAGACTGTCAATGAGTATATTGTATGTCACCACATTCGGCTGGCAGCCTGCCTCTTCCATTTTCTTAAACAACCCAGCAGCCGCAGTAGTTTCCCCGATCTTACATAAGCCATTGATAATCGTAGTATAAGTGTAGACAGAAGGTCGACACCCGCTTGCCTCAAAATCATCAAAGAATTCCACGGCTTGGGCAAATTTGCCAACTTTACAGAGCCCATTGATTAAGGTGTTAAATGTGACAGCATCGGGTTGAAGACCAAGTTTAATGATTTTGGAGAAGACAGAGAAGGCAAGATCGACACGTTGCAAGTGGGAGAAGCAATCAATCAAGATAGAAAGAGTATAAATATCAGGAGAGAGCCCAGCTAATTCCATTTGTTTGGAAAGAGAAATCACAGCACCGTAATACTGTCCCATTTTGACAATTGCAGACAATAATTTAGTGAATTGGATGATACAGGGCAGGGGTTCCCTACGAAGCATGTGATTGAAAGAAGCAAGGGCATCATCAATGTTTCTAAAAGAAGAAGCATCATCATGTTTGTGTTTATCTCTACTGCTTCTGCTGCTGCTGCTGCTATTGCTAGTGCTAGGGCTAGTGCTAGTGCTAGTGCTAGAAGAAGAAATGGAGCTGGAGTGGTTGCTAGACAGCAGTGATGAAGTGGTTGGAGATAGAAGAAGAATCATACCCATCATTTTCATTTGACATCGCTGAGTTTGGAACCCAAAAAAAAAGGTTTCTGAACCTCCTAGTCTCACCGCCGCAGCCGCAGCCGCAGCCGCCATCATCATCGACCTTCCTCTGTGTTTTTTCTTCTTCTCGTCGTCTTTTTTTTTTTGGTGAAGAATTTATCAAAACAACAGAGGTTGAAGAAAGGGATTTGGGAAAGCAGAAGAATGAAGAAATTTCGGGAAGAAAATTGGGTGCGAATGAACGGTTGGGATGGGCACTTCTAAAACGCTGGCGTTTTGAAGAGGAAACACAAAATTTACAGCTAATACAATCCAGTCCACATTTGCTTTCAAATTTTAAATTGCGTCCATTTTCAACATTGGCTTTTATTTTCTTCAGGGAACATGTTCCGAGCAATCTTTTTTTCGGGTGCATTTTCGGCGAGAGTTTCCTCACTCTACTTGCTTAGAGCGTGTCTGTTAACCAGGATTCTGCCTGAACATTGTTCTATGAAGAGGGAAGCTTGTTGATGATGAGGAAGGAAAATTTTCTCCGATAGCTTTGCCCAGAAATGCAGTTTCTGTTGAGCTTCTGGTACCGCTTATGGACTATCTGCCATTGGTGTCCTTGTAAAGGAATCAAACATCTTGCACATCTCTCTGGAAGCAGCTCGAGCTTCCGCAACAATGCCAGGCCCATTAAGTGGAGGCGGAGTGTCAATCATATTGCACATCTCTCTGGCGCCCTTATTGGTGTGGTTTTGGTATGGTTTGTCAGCAGAACTCGTTCTCCTCCAGATCTCGAGGGATCAACTTGCAACTTGGCAGGGAAAATCAGGCAAAACACGATTGAAGAATTCATGCTTTGTATATCCCACAAGTGCGTGTACATGCAAGGAATCCATGGCGTGATTTGTATCTTAATTCTTACGCTAATTTTATTAAACTGATTAAATTGCATAGCAGATTTTCCTTTCCTTGTTTAATAATTGTTATTTAATGATTCAGTGAAAATCATCATGAAGAAAAGATGGCCATGATAAACAAAAAAATGTTCTGGGTTCGAAAACGGGTCTCCTCTTAGACTGAGCTTGAACTGCTGCTATTTTCCACTGTCTCGTCTGATACATCCTCAGGATCGTTATCGTGAAAAGCATCATGAAGAAAACAGTACTTGGCTTTCTTTCAGTTCAAGAACAACGCTGTACACGGCTGTGCAAGCTGACCATAGATACCAAGGCCGTGACTGAGACTGCCTGCGGCATACAATTGGTAACCTTACCCCAAATTTGCAGCTACAAGAAAGAGACATGCTTCTTGTGGCTTGCCATGAGCACTCCATTGGAAAATCATCATCTCTCAACACCATCCTGCCTTTCCTAAGAGTTGCAGGAGACCCTTTATGGTCACTTGTAACTGGTCTTGGTATCTGCAAGATATTGGAATACAAGACATGAAAGAATCATCCAGAACCAAATACAAAGCTTGCATCACATTATACATTACAACAACATGAACTCTCAAAGGAATCGTTACTCATAATTTTCATCACGGCATGGCTAGTAACAGTAGATCATTATCATCTTTTAGGTAAGCCAATTTTCAATATCAAAGTTCACCTTTTCTATTAGAATTACACTATAGGCTATAATATATAATTAGTTAGCTTTTTTTTCTTTTTTGATAAATGGGATCATTAAGGATAAAATAAGTTAATTGCAACAGACCAAAAAGAGAATGGCTAACTAAAAAGACCACGTGGTATCTAATACCCACTGCACTAGAAACACAAATTTCTTTCATATTTCATCTTGTCACAGAAATTTCCATGATAGCATAGTATATACTAGTATAATGCCTGCACTCCACTACGAGCTAATGAAAAATAGTCAATGATTGATAGGGGAAAAAAACAAAGAGATGCAGAAGAAAAAGGGAAAACAATCCACACAAGAGAGGGAAAAAAGGAAAGGAAAAAGAATAGCTATTTAGGCATTTTAAGCAAACCAGCAGGCCAACACTGCCACCACCTTTGTCTGGAATGAGGCATCATCTCCAGATGAGCTATCAGCATTGAACGTTGCATTTATCTTCTTCCCTATCTTAACTGTATTGAAGCCATTTAGAAGAGAAAGAAAAAATGTAAGGAATATATTCCATGGCATCAAATTCTTCAACAAATCATTAAGAAAAGAAGGATCAGCAATCAAAAGAACATTTATTAGAAGAACTATCGCATAGGAATTAAGGCCAAATAGCTGAGATTTTCTAAAAGCCAGGAGGGATTAAGAAAGTACGCAGATAAAGAAGATGGTTAATTTAGCACATCCAATGTAACAAACTGAAATTTTCATATCCGTGCTGTGCAAGCTTCTTCTAGGAATTCGATATGACTCCGTCATCCTCATAAATTTATGGACAGATCACAGAAATAGTGTTGTTCCAATTTACTTGAACATGCTAACAATCTTTTATGGAAAGAAAACAAAAAGAATGGTGCAAGTAAAAAAGATGACTTGACCATTCTTAAAATATAAAGCAATCTTATTTTCACATCAATGTTTGGCATTTGTGGACTGTCTTGCCATTTTGGTGGAAATCGTAAAAGAATTACAAAAATGATTGGTCGTTTGCATTTTATTCCCTATGAGTAGCAAGACGACCCAACCAAGCAACCCTAGTGTACTTTTACTTAACTCATTTAAATAAGCATTGCAAGTGGAACAAAAACTATCCAAATTTTGGTACATGGCCATGAATTCAGAAATCTTTCCCTTCATTTCACTAACAAAAAAATCATAAATCACAACTATTGAATGGACAGGTCATAAAACGATTTGATAAACCAACTCAAGCTGCATTTTAAGCAGAAAAGTGTGGGATTTGGAAGCTTGTTATACATGCCCAGAAAGCTGCGTGTTTAACAAATTACCTCGTTCCAAATCTAAAAACACACCAGGCCCAAACAAAAGAACTTCAAAAACATGAAGGAGATTCCAAATATTAACCTGTATAGAGAAAAGTTAAAGAAAAGCAACAAACAATGTGGGAGGGAAAGTGAGGAACATGTATAAGCAGCAAAGAGAAATTGAGAAGGGAAAGGAAAACACAAAGAACAAACATACAAGGGAAAAAAAAAACAAAATAGAAATGACTCGATATGACGGAGAAGCTGCTAGAGGTAAAAAAATCACCTTGTTCATCAACAGAAAAAGAACCACGCCCCCACAAAAGGGCATCTAAAACCCCAAGGAGAATACACAACAAATGACAACCTGCAAAGACACCAGATAATTTATGGTTGTGAGGGTAAGCATAAGGACACATAATTTAGTACCAATCAAAGTTGACTCCCATATATTTTCATGGGATTTCTATTTTTTATCAACAAAAAATGCAGACGAAAAGTTTGTTCGATGATGTCAACCTAACCAATTTTTCAATTAAAATTTTATAAACTGAAGAAGAGTTTGAATATAAATATGAACAGAAATTGACATGCAAGGATATGGAGTAAGAATACTTGCATGAATGCAACATTACTCAACTGAATTAGAACCCGATAGAAAAATCCATAGGTATTTGAAAGTAGGAATAGAGAAGGAGCTTGTTTAGATGGATAGTGGTGTCATTTGTTTGATACTGTTATGTTGCAGGGATAATAGGTGGGAGAAATTAACTAAATGCCAATAGTTCGAAACTATATTCTAAAAGTTGTAACAGATTTACTTCCTGTTTTTTTCTTCACTATAGTCCAGTTTGTCATGTTCTCTTGCTGCTAATGCTTAGTTTTCTGTCTTTTTTATTTGCCATATTGCCACTATTGATTTAATCTGTCACCACTCAACTTTCATAACTCTCATCCTACGTTTCTACTGATTATTTTATTCTACATACCTTATAATTTTGTTTAGATTTTACTTCAATGAGATACACTAAGCACCGGAACCAGATAGTATCAAATTTAAAATTCACTATTGTTGGATGAGTTATAACCAATGTACGACACGACACCCCTCCTAATCCATAGCTTGTTACACTACCTATCCAACTTTCTTTTCATGATCCACTAAGAAACTTTTTTTCTGAAGAGTACATGCGTGAAGGATTCCTTTCCATAACTTTCACCATGATAGTTGTTTTCAAAATTTTTCATATTGGTTAGCTAATTCGATGGCACTAAAATTGCAGATATTGCTAGGGGTGGTTCTAGCTAATAAAAACAAAACCAAAGAAAACAGAGCACCTGTATAAACACTGAAAAGAAACGGCACGGAGGTGTGTGTTCCAAAAGTCAGGGGATGAAATCCACGGTCAAGAACCTCTCTGTCTCCAAATCATTAATGGCCTCATCAAGAAAATCTGTGATGGCTACCACCGCTTGCTGTGTTGTTCCAAATCAAGGAAACCCCAACTCCCAATTATAAAACAAATCACAAAACCTAAACCATTGGCCCCTTTTGATTAACGGCTCTCCGTGGTTGTTGAGGCATTCCTGAATCCAACCACCCTCTCTACGCTTCTCTTAACCAAACTATATACATAGACTCGTTGTTGCTGTGGATTCACACAATATAATGAGTTTTTCCCATCGATTCACTTCTCTTCTTTGGGTGACTGGGGAGCATACTTACAATGTTTTTTTTCCTCCCTATTCTTCTTTGTCCCAATGGCAAGACCCTACTGTGCTGAAAAAAAGGACAAAACACAGAACAAGCTAACTATCACAGGGCAGCGTAGAACCCCCAGTCCCACGTCAAATCAAAGAAAATTAAGCAGCTGCAGGAATCAAGGAGCTGCACACAATACCAAAAAAACCCAATTAAATGAGCAGCCCTAGGAATTGAGGAGCTGCGCACAATCCCCAAAAAACCCAGTCCTCGAAACACACATATTGCAAGTAGGCTGCGCTTCAAGAAGAAGACACCCATGAATGAGAAGAAAAATTGAGGATGCCAGCCACTATTTGAATCCACAGTGATTCTGTCTCTGGGTGTATAGTGAAACCATGAGCCCATTTAGTTTTTGTGTAATGTAGATAAATTAGCCCAGGCAGTATCCAATAAGCACTATACTTGATTTCCAAATTGTTGAGAAAAATTGAGCCTCCACAGGTTGTCTAGTACCCACCAATATTCACAAATTTCAAATACTGTAAAGAACATTTCTTAAAGAAGTTTCAAAAACAGTATGACACATGGATCCTAAGCTACAACCTAAGGGACTACTTGTTTTAAAGAATTTTCCTTTCACAATCTAGATACATTGCAAGTATCAGCAGCAAATTCCAGTTCTATAAATAAAGCATTCAACCGATCCAACAATTAGCCTTTCACTGAACTGCCACTTTCAAAGCATGGTTCTTTTCACTGACTATGGGGTCACACTTGTTGCATAAGTTGGGCTGTTCACTCCATGTTCAATATGTTGGGCCATTCACTTCCACATTCAAGGACTATGATTTTCATCGAAACCAGCTTGGAATATTTGGAACCATGACAATATAACAGCAACAAGCACATCAACCAAACCATTTACTGTCACCGGACAAATACAAAAAGGACAGGAAAGTGTTTGGTTGGACGGATAGAGATATAAAATAAATCCATCTTTGGAATAGTTTTGGAGTAATTTCCTGTCCTTTCAAATCAAGAGGTACATGGGACACGTCCCCTCTATCTCCACTATCTTTGTCTCTTCACCAAACGCTACTTACAAGAACCTCCAAAAGCACCAATAATTGACATACAAGGAAGACCATACTTTAACATTCAAATTCCAATATGTCAATGATTTCTGATCAATTCCATCAAACCTTGCTGTATAAATCAGCATAGAAGAAGATGAAATATGCACTACATTTTTTTCAGACTTTTCTTACAAACTATAGCATAACAACATAGACCTCTCATATCCCAGCTCAAAAGCTTTCTTGTAAAGTAGATATGAGCATAACAGTTCCCAGAACTGCATGCTATCATAAAATACTTTCCGCAGAACAAGTTTGTACATCTAGCTCTATGAATAATTCATAAAAATTTCCTTTAAAAAAAATCAGCTACCTAGATCTGCTAGAATCTCCTTTCCTAAGTATCTGAAAATTCCCATAATTGATCATTCACACACAAACAGACTCTAGAAAAAAAAGAAGCTCAAGAGGACAATATAGATCTTCACAGACTCAAAATATCAGTGAAGCTCAGCAACACAAAAGATCGAAAGGCAAAGATCTTTTTAGTAAACATCTTGTAGGCAGATTGCATAACAACAACATTTTGCTGGCTACTGAAAATATATATAGAAATCTGATTCAATGTACGACCACAACCATTCATCAAGATGAACATTTAGTTTAGCAATTCCAATTATGTTGTAGCAAGTAACTAATGTCATTGTTCAAATGTTGACATGATTGAAGTAAAAACTAACTTACACATTGAGGAAAAATTACTTACTATTTTCCACATGAATTTGCAGCATAGAGAAATAAAAATTTACATCACCTTTCAACCTTGACGAACTTCATGTAAGCCTCGATACTTCTTCAGAACAAGATTGTCTTCATTAGAAAACAGATCTTCTACCAAGCTGGGGTCCCCACATCTGCAATGAAACCTTTGTCTCTCATTTCTCCAATAAGTTGCACTGCCCTTGATTCATCCTTGTGATGGAGAAAACCTCGAATAATAACATTATAAGAAATTTCATCTGGAGGGCAGCCATCCTCTTCCATATTTCGGAAAGCTTCCAATGCTTCATCTAACAATCCTTCTTTACAAAGTCCATTTATTATTGTAGTGTATATCTGAGCATTAGGCTGCAACCCTTTGACAAAGAGTTCTGAAAACAGTTTCCTTGCATCTCCAAGGTTCCCGGATTTGCACATGGCGTCAATCAGGATGTTATACATCACCAGATTAGGCTTCGAGTAAGTACTTTCCATTGCTCGAAACAGTCTGAATGCCTTACCAAAATACCCTTGTTTGCAAAAACCATTAAGCAATATTGAGTAGGTAAATAGATTTGGGAGGTTGCCATTGGTGTGCATATTCTTGAAAAGATTGTGTGCTTCCCTAAGACTGCCTAACTGGCACAAGCCATGAATAAGAGTGTTGTAACTAACATTGTTTGGAGTTAAGCCTTGATGAATCATTTCATTAAAAAGCTGCTTGGCCTCATCTATCCTTTTCACCTTACAATATCCATTAATTAAGATGTTATAACTAAACACATCAGGTTTACAACCCTTGGTTATCATGGCTTCAAACAACTTTCTAGCTTCAACAACTTCCGACTGCAAGGAATATCCATACATCAATGAACTGTACGTAACAACATCAGGCTCCACACCCATTTCAGTCATTGTTTTTAACACACCTTGAGCCTCTGAAACCTTGCCTTCTTTGCAAATTGTATCAACTAGCACGTTGAAGGTGACAATATCTGGCATGATATTCAAACTCCTCATTTCATTTAGCAATGCCGAAGCCTCCTTCCATTGGCTGAAATTGCATAAGCCCTGGATCAAAGAGTTGTAAGTGATAATATCAGGGGAAATGCCTTTAACCTTCATATAAGAGAAGATATCTAAAGCGTCATTCACCCGCCTATCTTTGCGATGACTATCAATGATTGTACTGTATGTAACCACATTCGGCTGGCAGCCTGCCTCTTCCATTTTCTTAAGCAATCCAGCAGCCGCAGCAGTTTCCCCGATCTTACATAAGCCATTGATAATCGTAGTATAAGTGTAGACATCAGGTCGACACCCTCTTGACACCATGTCATCAAATAATTCCATGGCTTGGGCAAATTTACCCACTTTACAGAGCCAATTGATTAAGGTGGTAAATGTGACGATAGTGGGTTGAAGACCAAGTTTAATGATTTTGGCTAAGACAGAGAAGGCAAGATCAACACGTTGCAAGTGGGAGAAGCAATTGATCAAGATAGAAAGAGTATAAATATTAGGAGAGAGCCCAGCTAATTCCATTTGTTTGGTAAGAGAAATCACGGTATCGTATTACTGTCCCATTTTGACAATTGCAGACAATAATTTAGTGAATTGGATAATACAAGGCAGGGGTTTCCTATGAAGCATGTGATCGAAAGAAGCAAGGGCATCATCAATGTTTCTAAAAGAACAAGCATCATCGTGTTTGCGTTTATCTCTACGGTTACGGCTACCGCTGCTGCTAATGCTACAGGTAGAAGAAGAAATGGAGTTGAAGTGGTTGCTAGACAACAGTGATGGAGTGGTTGGAGATAGAAGAAGAATCATACCCATTATTTTCATTTGGCATTGCTGAATCTGGGACCCAATAAAAAAAGCTTCTGAACCTCGTCTCATTGCCGCCGCCGCCATCATCACCATCGACCTTCCTCTGTGTTTTTCCTTCTCCTTGCGGTCTTTTTTTGGTGAAAAATTGACCAAAACGACGGAGATTGAAGAAAGCGATTCGTGGAAGCAGGTGCGTCTCGCTCTCAAGGAATGAAGAAGTGTCAGAAAAGTAAAAATAGATGGGAATGAACGGTTGGGATGGCCGTTTCTAAAACGCTGGCGTTTTGAAAAATAAGAAACAGAAAATTTACTGCTAAAACAATCCAGTCCACATTTGCATTTTATCACATCCATTTTCTAAAATGAATCATCTATTTTCTCTTAGGAATAAAGGCGTGTTGAGAGTCATGAAACTATTAATTTAGCAATTGAAGGCCCTGAGATACCTCAAATCTTTTCAGAAATTCTTTCTTTTTTTCAATGAAGTCCCTGTTAGTTTTTCATTCAATAAAAAATTATATATTTTTTAGTTGCAGCATTACAAGTCGATTAACATGCCATGCTTCAGCAACAGGCAAGATGGTCGATTTCTCAGGCTGAACTTCAAATAGCATGCCATAGGTTCTTGATAGAGGCTGTTCCTGTTTGATTTTTGTTGGAGGTTCTAGCAAAAATTCTCTTTATCAAATTCTCCCATTCAGGAAACACCTTCTTGCCAATTTCAGAGCCTTTATTAGATCTAACTTTACATGGAATGCAATCAAAATATAGAGCTTCAATTTTTGTCCACTCTCACATTCCCTCTTGGGGAGTTCCTGGAACAAAAAAAAAACAAGAAGAAAACTGAAACAGCCAGCAATTTATGGAATATGTTGCTTGCCATAAATTCAGCAAAGAAGAAAAGAAAAGGAAAAAAGCATCAGGGAAAACTGTAGATTCGGAGCTACTTTGGCTTTTTGATTTTCTAAACCAATGTCACCCTCATCCCTCCTCTGTTAAAAACAAATACAAGCAACCCTCTCTCCTCCAGTGTCCATCTCGGCTAGAAACAGGCTGCCTAGGCAGCAGACCCATTACCAAAAATTAGCATACCAACTCCTACTCATAGCTCTCATCTCCCTCTCGGTGCAAAGCACAGCCTCCTTCATTTCCACAGTCACCACCACCGATAGCCTCCCTTCAAAACCCACGGTAGCAGCTCACAGCAATATCCATGTGTTTATTCTCGGCCCATAAGATGTTGAAAGAGAAGAAACTAGAGAATGTACTCGGTTTGGGTCTTTGGACATTGCTTTATCCTGGGAGGGAGATTTTACCAAGTCCTGGTGGATGAGCAGCCCCACTAGTGGATCGGCCAAGTTTCCTTCTCAGGAGAAGCTGGGTCGCCTTTTGCCGGGAACTCCTGGTGGATGAGCAACCCCACCAGTGGACCCCAAGGTTGTTAAGTGAATTACTTGCCAAATTGATTAGGATTGCTTTCGAGAAGAACTGGAAATGGGGGTATTTCAAGGAGTTTGGACGTGCGCTTGAAACATAGAATTTTGGCAAGTGGAAAAAAAGACTAAGAAGAACAATACTAAGAAAACGAGAGCAAAGGAAGGAAAGTAAAAGAAAATTTTATTTAACGAAAGCAAAGGCAGTCAACTAGAACAATAGCACAATCACATAATGTAAGAACGAGGTCATTATCTTCCTTGCCCGGAAAATAGCCAGCCTCATCTCATTTCCCCGGAAAACATGGGAAAGAGAAACAAGAGAATGAGAAAAGCTTCCAACTTTATAACTAAAAATTAGATTCAAAAGAAACACTTTTGAATATTCACTAATCCATGTAGAAAGAATCTGTCTTTTTCTTTGGAATCTCTCTCTTTCTCTCTTAAAGAAAATATATAGGGAGAAATGTCGGAGTTGTGGAAATGGTACCAAAATTGCTTAGCTGTGCACCCAGCTAAGAAACAAGTGATTAGCTCAGGATTTATTTGGGGATTTGGTGATATAGCTGCAAAATCCATCACTCACTATACAGCCAAGAAATATCATCAAATCAATGTATTTATTAGCATGAGAACCTGTCATTCAAGAAAATCCTTTTTTCTTTTATTTGATGGTGTTTTTTTTTTAAATCTGTTTTTGGATGTTTTGCCTTGTTTTGGAAATGCGCATGTCTCAAGTTTTTGCCCTGTTGACCACTTCTATAAGTGTTTTCTCTTATTTTCATGTATACAATTCATTTCAAATTTGAATGGAAGTTATTTTCAGAAAAAATTGTCTTGAAAATCGTGGATCCTGGAGTTCGCACTTCACCGCTACTGTCAAAAGATTTTTAATTGATGGGACTGCATATAGTACTCTTCCGCAGAGGTGTGTAAGTCATATGTCATGTGCTTCTTGTTAAACTGTTGCAGGTATGAAGGCAGACCGATTTATTAGATCACGACTTCTAATGCGTCCAAATTCCTTGCGGTTTGTTGGTGCTAAAGAAGCAACTGATGGGTTCCTCTTTGGACCACTGGATCTGCTTGTATTTTTCAGTTACATGGGTTTTGCCACTGGGAAGAGCGTTCCCCAAATCAGGAAAGATTTGGACAGGGACTTCGTACCAGCTTTTGTTTTGGAAGGAGGTATATGGCCACTTGTTCAAGTTGCGATTTCCGATTTGTACCTGTGTGGTATCAACTCTTGTATGTCAACTCCTTCTGCTTGTTGGATAGTTGTTTTCTGTAGTGGCTTGAGCAGCAAGAGGATGTTCCTTGGAAGCAATGGTTGATATCTCTTCTCCCTTCCAAGGAGCAAAAAGATCTAGGTGGATGATTTCTTGTCTTCAAGTTCTTAATGTTTCATTCTGAGGCATAGCAATCATGGTGGGTGTACAGGTAAGAGAAAAGGGTTTCAAAAAAAGTCAACAAGGCTGAATCGGCAACTTCAAATTTTCATGTGAGCAATTCAGACAAGTCAAAGGATTACTCTTTTGCTATGCAGTTTTTGCTTCGAATACAAGGAAGCTTATATTGATTGTTTTCCCAACCCTGTCTTTTTTATTTTTTTTAAATCAAAGACATCATTGAAACTGTTTTTGTTAGTGGTTTGGAGAGTTTACCAGGTATGAAATCTTTAGAAACAGATGCTGATGGGATTCTATTTGCATTGCTGGAGTCTTCCCTACTTCTGGGGTCTTCTGTAAATTAACATTTGTAACTTGTGAAAAACACGACCAACCGATTCTAGTGTTTGATGGAATGCATTCTCATTTCTAATCCCAACATGTTTCTGGAGACAGAACTTCTGAAGAAAAGTCATCACAAGTACCTAATGAAGCATTGCTCGAAAGTGTATTTGATACACTTAATTATATCTTGCTTTCCAGGTTTCTTCTTAACTGTAACAATATACCTGGTGGCGTTCGGAAGTGACCGAACCGTACATGACTTGAACGACAACCTCATTCTTCTAATTGTTCATGCCCAGACTCGTAAAGAATATGTGTATCAGTAATCTGTATGTACATTCCACTAGTAGGCTGTATGCTTAGCAATGAAGCTAACACGATTTTCCTCTAAAAGCGTGACTGGTAGAGAATCAAGAAAGAAAAAAGGGCATTACATTAGTCATCAAAACTCTCTCTAATAACTTGGCTATACGCATGTCTTGGTTATCTGCTGCTAGCCTTGCTACTTGAGCTAGATGGGTTAAGACCATACTCGCTGGTGGTTCCAGTGTTCCCACTGATGCCACCCTGCGTGCTGCCCCTTGCCATGTTGAAACTCTCCATGTTCTCCTTGTATTGGTAGGTACTGGAACTTGAACTTATTGAAGAACCATACAGTGTGTTATTTCTTGGCCTGAATATTCCTGCATTGAGATCCTGTGCAGACATTCCGCCTTCCAAAGCATGAACAATCTGTTTGATATGAAACAACATTTTTTACGTTTCGAAGCATCTCAGCTCAATAAAGTTTGGTATAGCAAGTATAGAACAATCGTTAAATGATAAGTCATCCGTGACCATAATTTTTTTGTTCGATTTCATGTGGGTTATGGTCTCACGAGGAAGGCATTTTATGCACAACTTACATTTGTGACTGGCCAGAGGTAATCCTTATATTGAACAGGATAAGGCAAAAAAGTTATTACCTGGCTCATTCGTGGTCGGATCCAGGATGAAGGGTGCACACAAGCAGCAGCACAAGCAACCATGCTAGCCGTCTCACTGTTATTATACCGAGTCCCTAGTCGTGGATCGAGAAGAGCTTCAAAATTGCCATCTTCCAGAGCTTGAGTGAGTAAAGGCCTAGCCTGGAATACCAGTATAGTGGGAGGGAGTTTCCACAAGGTGATGTCAGAGTCATGCTAACATAGACTAACGGGCATGTCCAGAAATTGAAAGAAGATTCAAAAGCCTTGTAGAAGGGAACTCACCCAGACAACCAAGCTTTCATTCATTACTGATTCTGCTTGACTGATAGGTGGATGCCCAGTTATTAGCTCCAAAAGCACAACTCCATAGGAATAGACGTCTGATTTATCTGTTAGCTTGCCACTTAATGCATACTCTGGAGCCATGTAGCTGAAACCATAGCAAGCATTAGTGTTGAGGTTGAGGAAGAAAATGCAAGGTTTAGTAATGCACACTAAAAATTTCAAAGAGAGTGGAGACAATTTAGCATGACCTGCAAACCAGCAGTGCTTTCAAAGCAAAATGATTTTTTTTTTTTTAAGAGAATGGTTTGCCTACTAGCAAATGGAGTTCTAGGCTTTGGACAAACTGGTGTAGAACCGAACCAATATCGTTGAACACTCGGACAAAAGCAAGAGGAAGCCAGCTTAACTAATAACAATAGAAATTAAATACAAAAATCACATAGAAAATGCAAAGAAAATGGCCAAAACTCATCCCAAACAAAAAAAATATCTGAAGAGAAGACATGGCCATACCCGAAAGTCCCCACCACTCTGGTGGAAATGTGAGTGCTGCTAGCACTGGCATCAGAAAAACTTTTGGCAAGTCCGAAGTCAGAAACCTGAACAAAATATGAAAACATTAATCTATTAGTATGTGCAAGAAGACTCTTATTCTTTACCTCAAATATCATTAGACAAGATGATGAAAGGATCTCATTTCTTACCCTATGAAACCATGAATTTAATAGGACCAGGTCTAAACTATTTCTCTAGAAATATGAAAAAAGTGGGTCACTTAATCAAAGGTGGTCTTGAACTCAAGTGCACATGAAATGTTCAATGAAGTACTTAGAATAATATAGTAGTAACCTAGAATAGTTCATAGGTGAGCTTGAAAGCTACGTATCACGAACCAAAAGAATGATGAAATAAGAATTAGAAGCCCTACCTTTGCCTCAAAATTATGATCAAGGAGAATATTGGATGCCTTGATATCACGATGAATGATTTTCGGATGACCTGCATGCAGGAATATTTAATTGGAAAATGTACTATATTCACAAGCATAAGGATGTTCAAATTATTGATTCTTTTTTTTTTTTTTAAAGGCAGCATTTCACGATATAAAAATTCCTTGTGAACTCAATATTTTTACTCTAAGATAACTCCCCCCTGTTAATCCGGATGAATGGGCAGCATTCATAAACACCTACAAAATCTGATAAAGCTATTCGATATAGAAAAAAAATTGCTGAGGCGAAGTGAGGGTGGCTTGGTTGGGGAAGATCAGGAGAAGAGAGCATCCAAGAAAACTCACAATCTTCATGCAGATATGCTAGTCCTTTTGCAGACCCTATAGCAATTTTCAATCTGGTTTCCCACTCTAGAACAGGCTGCCCAGTTCCTGCAATGTGCAATTCTTACAATGAACATCCAACAATGAAATAACTCTCATGTCATATCCATTTTTGTAATAAAGTGTTGATTATCGAAATCTGACCGTGCAAGTGAAACTCCAAAGTGTTGTTTGGAACAAACTCGTAAACAAGCAGTCTAGCAGAACCATTAATGCAATATCCTACCAATGAAACAAGATGTTTATGATGCACCCGACTTATGATCTCAACTTCTGCCTGAAACTCGCGCTCACCCTGATTACTTCCCTCCTTCAGCTGCTTAACTGCAATTTCCTTCCCACAAGGAAAGAACCCCTTGTGAACATAGCCAAAACCACCTTGTCCAAGAAGGTTGGCATCTGAGAATCCATTAGTGGCCACCACTAGTTCATCATATGTGCAAGTTCCCTTCGAAAAACTAAAGGCAACTTCAGGAGGACCTTGATGTGGAAATGCATTCGCAGTCCATGGTGAATTTATGGAACGAGAACGTGTGTTGCTGGTTGAAGGAGGTGGCAGAAAGGTCTTTGTTTGCACAGTGATAACACAATCCCCTGACTGAAAACACTTCATTTCAGAATGGTGGGCGTGAGCATTTTTATTGTTATCTAGGAATGCAAAAAAAAGGACTGATTAGTAAACCAGATCATATACCCTTTAAAGGACTCATGCAATAAATTGGGAATATCGTGAATTTTTAGCATTTCTATTGATTCTGAAAATTAATTTCAAGGAAGAGAAAGGGCTAATTTCGAAGTATTGGTGAGCCAGTTTTAAATCTTCACCTGTTGGGGCCGAGATTTTTGATGTATTGTAATGCTCTTTGGTGCTGTGGTTTCTCCTTCTCTTATCTTTGCAACAGATAAAGAAAAGGCCAAGCACAAGTAGCAAAAACACCCCACCAAAGGCACATGCAACAACGAGCCCTGTTGATATATGAAACTGTTTTGAGCTCATGGGCAGACTTCCTTTTTCTAATGGGAGTGATGGTGGTGAAGATACCATAGATTTGGGTGGTGGTGGAGGTGGAGGTGGCGTCAAAGCGAGTGATGGAGGTGAAGATACCATAGATGTGGGTAGAGGTGGAGGTGGCGTCAATGCGAGTGATGGTGGTGCTGGTCGGTAACTAGGCCTTGTCAGAGGAGGCATAATGGGTGTCGGTGTTGCTGGAGATGGAGGAGCAGGTTTTGGTGGAGATGGAGGTGGCCAAGAAGTTGATGGTGGCTGAGATGGAGGACTTGTTGGCAGAGGAGGAGAAGGTAGTGGTGGTTGGGGTAGTGATGGTCTCGTTGGCAATGGTGGTGGAGAAGTAACTGATGGTATTTGAGGCTCAGGTAGCAATGTTGGAGGAGGTACTGGAATTATAGGATTGATAGAAGCCTCAGGTGGTGGAGCTAGCTCCACAGGTAGTGGTGTTGAGGCAACTGGGGGTGATAAAACTGGAATTGTCATTGGTGGTGGCGATAGGACTGGAGTCACCGGAGGAGGTGTTGGATTGGAAACAGGAGGTATTGCAGGTGGCGACACCACCACCACCACAGGAGATGGTGGGGAAGCAAATGGTGCTATTTGCGGGATTGTTGGTGGACTAGTATTATCCATCCCTGCTGGTGGTTGAGATGGTGGTAGAGGATGTGAAGTGGCCGCCGGAGAATCCACTGGTGCCGGTGACTCTAATGGTGTTGATGACATTATAAAATTTTATATCTTGGAATATTAGTGGACGTCTCTTTTAGTACATAGCATGCAATATAGTAGATCAATCAACCCACAACTTAGTGGGATTCATAGCTGTATTCCTTTATGTGGTGAATTTCTCTAATCAAATGGTTAAGCGCAGAAGCGTTGTTCAGTTTTATTATTATACTGACAGTTGCAGTTAGAATCCTGCTCGTGAACAACTAATTTATGAGCAGCAATCAGGGCAGCAGTTAGTTTTAGTCACAAACTCCAACACCTATCAAACAAAACAAGAGTTAACACTCGAGAAGGTCTGATCTGTATAATGGTCTAGCCACCGTGGGGCTAGTAGTTTTTGTGTAAAATACAAACTTTTATGCTTCTGTATACTATTAGCACGAGGCAGCTAGCCACCATATGACTCGTTGTCTTTTGCGTATGGTCATGGTCATGCCCCATTAGAGCACTAGTTCACATGAATAAGATGCTAGGCAATGGGAACTGGGAAGTACAATCCTATTGTGATTTGATTGGTAGAATATCAAACTGTGAACATAAACAAAGTCGAGCAACCATGCTTAAATTCCTCTCAGATAACAACAAATGGCAGATATTTTCCGATTAAAATGGCAGCGTAAGCAGGGGACACGACCATTAATCTGTAACGAAAAACCTCGTCTTCCAAGAAAAGGTTTTAGAAAGTGTTATCTGGTTATATCTTCACTCCATGGCTTGAGTTTTTTAAAAAAAATAGTGCAGGAAAGCTCCACTGAATGCAAGAGCATAAATGGAATCCACTGAACTACTCGGGTTTTTCCAGGAGGCTACTCGGCATCAATCTTCAGAAAATGAAGGAACTAATTAATGTCAACCTATTAGAGGATCTCATATGCCAACAGCATATCCTTAAATCACATCTTGCGAACCTGTTTTGGCAAATTCAACCCTTGAAACTTCAGTGCTAAATAGACTTCATCGTTCAATTGAGCCAGTAATATCCTACCAAGTAAACAACTTAACAGAGCCCATCTGAATTTGTTAGAGCTTAGCATCAAAAGCCAGGACACTATAATCCTGCCAATTTCATATCCGCCATCACTAAATTCAACTTCTCCATCAATCCAACTCTTCTGTAACCAGCAACTAGCAAATCATAAGTTGATCTAGTGAGCTTATAGTAGCTCTTAATATGTTCCAGAAACAAGTCTAGCCTCTCATAAGCCTCTTGCCTGAAGTAGGAAGAGATAACCTTCTCAACATCACTTGGAATTTTAAATGACATCCCCTGACTCATCATCCTCCCAACAGAGAATTCAACATCATCCAACCTATCCAGCATGGCGTAGAATCTTATAATCCCACAGTGCAGCTGCAATAATGCTTCACCAACCTGATTGAACTCCATTAACATTTCGAGTAGCATCTCCATTTCATCCACTTTCCCAAGCTCAGAATACAGCCTGACAACATTTTCAATCATATTCCCATTGATCTCAAACTTACATTCCAGCAAAAAATTTAAAAACTCTTTAACTTTATCACAGCTTCCCCGTTTGCAATGCCCTTCCAGCACCCATTCCATTATGTGTAAACTAGGCATAATTCCCAAGGACATCATCTCTTCATATAGTCTATCAGCAGTATCAAAATCTCTTGCCTTAACACAACAAGAAATGAGACACTCATAGTTTTGTAAAGTAGCAGAGAAACCAGCAGCCCTTTTCCCCACAAACCATGCTTGCATTTTATTTACATCTCTTAAATTCGAAAACCCTGCTACAAAATTGTCATAAGTTTCAGAATTAGGTTTATAGCTCTCGGAATTCTCCATTATCTCAAACAAGCTAAGAGCTGTTATCACATTGCTTGATAACAAGCAAGCATATAAAAGAGAATTGAAAACTGAAGTTGTGGGTTTAATTCCCCGAGCCTCCATCGAAGTAAACACGCACATTGCAAGGGACACATTTTGAATCTTTCCACAAAGAGATATTAAACTGGAGTATTCATCATGATCTATCTCATTATCATCAAGCATTCTCCCCAATCTCCATTCTAAAACCTGATTAATCAAACAAAAAAAAAATAAGCAACCTCTCTTCAATCTACTAAAGAAATTGAGCAAAAATCATTACTTTATAACTCTTAACAACTCAATTCAACCAAACTTTCAGTTCTGTAATAAGCAGAACTTGACGAATAATAATTCTAAAAGAAATTCCAAATATTGAAACTCTTCCAAAAATGAATTTCTTCAAAACCATCAGTCAAGATTTCAATGACAAATTGAATATTATGATACTTAACCATTTAATCATGCTCAAATTCTTTGACTTTATATAAAAGAAATAAAAAAAACATTTTGGTATTTCTCTACTCTTTAGTCTTTAATTCGTCTTGAACTTGCTATACGACCCAAGAACAGAACCAATCACTCATGTTTCCCTACCAAAACACAAAACAAGAAAAACCCATATTCCCATTTCCACTGCTTTTCTTTCTCACTTTTCATTTCTTACATTTTACAAGAAGACAAGAAAAAAAATGAATAGAGAAAGTGAGAGCAATCACCAAGTGTGCTTTCTCAGGAGAGGAAGATCTGAGATTGGTAATGAGAGGATCCCATGAAAGTTGAGAACTTTTGAGGTTAAAACTGAGGTCTGAATCGAGTGTACTCATGATTTTGGAGGTTGGTGTTTGAAGCAACTTTGAAAGAAGAGGATCAGAAGAAGAAGCGGTGGAAAAGGAGTGCTGGGTTTGGAATGGAATTGGAAATAATAATTGAATAATTTGAGGGATTCTTGAACCTCGTTTAGCTAATGAAGGAACTCCCCTGAGTACCAATGCCATGTTTTCTACATTATTTCTCTGGTTCAAGTTTCCATAGCACTTGTATTTCGCAGTGCCGGTAGAGTTAACAGTAGACGACATGTCGTTGATGCGTGTCGTGTGGCTCGTTTACTCCAACGGGTATTCAAGCACTCCCAAATTGTTTATACTGTTACGCTAAATTGTAAAATATCCCTGAAATAAATATTTTGTTTAACAAAAATAAATTCTGATTTTGCTCGCTAAACTTCAAGATTTCTTGAATTTATTCCTGTATAATAGAGATTGACAGAAAATCATAAAAATCCTCTTGATTTTATTCCATAGATTGTGCATGATATGATCTGAAAGGAATGTGTAGAGGTGGCAGCAGCTCTTGTCATTGGTCTTTGATATTTGGCTTAGAAGATTATTTGTGTTTTTATGTTACAAAGAGCGGAAATTAAGGCCTCACATTATTGTTGAATTAGTTTGAATAAACTCTCATTAATATCATGCAGCAAAATAACCATATGATAAAATAGTATGTGAAGATGTATTTAAGAATGAATATTGTAGTAATCTTGGAGATTTAATCTTACATAAAAACTTCCTTTTATTTATTTATATAAACATGATTTATAAGTGAACGATCGCTTTCAAGAATTAAATTATAAAGAAAAGCTCGTCAACTCAAGATTCATAGAAATTTTCTACTTCTAATTAACTTCTTATCACTATACTATTATCATTTCAATTGCAAGCTCACTTACATGGATTTAGATCCATAAATCATTTAATTCAAATCAGAAAAAATTTCTACTTCTAATTAACTCTTTTATCACTGTAACATTATCATTTCAGTTACAAGCTCACTTGTACAATACCTATATTTATAGATTATCTAATTCAAATAAAAAAATAAACTATCTCTTTCTAATTAACTCTTTGATCACTATACTATTTCAATTATAAGCTCTATTATCATTTCAATTATAAGCTTCCTTACATGTAACCTAGTTCATCTAATTAGTTAATTAGTTTCTCTTCCTGAATTAAACGGCTTATATCCATGTAATTTCAAGGAAGTTCGGATTGAAATGTCATCATCGTTTTTTTCTAAGAAAAACACCCATCATTACCATCTCAAGTGTTTGCAACTAGCTAAAGCTGCAAATGAGTAAGCTGCTCTTTAACTGTTCAAAAATTGACATTTACATATTTGAGTGCTTTGGGCATAGCCCAAACAGCTAGAATTGTTCAGTCACTTGAGCTAGGCTAACATAACTAGCTCAACCCAAAAGCCTTTGTGCTCATTTCCCCTGGTGCAATAGAATGGGTCCAGGAATAAGTACTGTTCATCCTTTTTTATAGCTTTTGGTTCTCGTTCCAAAACAACACAGAAGGAATCTGTACACTAGAGAGGTAATTGTTTGCGGATATATCCCTTCTCAAGGACAAATTCATGTTTGACCTGCCCTGCTCAGTAGTCACCAGTCAGAACTAACTCAGAACACGGTGGTTGTCAACAAAAACCATAACAGACTGGTTTTTTCCTTCTAACTATATCTTAACAAATAGCTATCGCCAAACAAGGAATGCTAGGTCCAGAGCTGGCTCCATTCCATGGTTCCCTTCCCACCCCACATTCTTGTCTACCCTCATTCCAGGGGCCACCAGTTTAGGATTGCTCACTCTTGGGGGGGCTACGCAGGGGCCACCAGTTTAGGATTGCTCACTTTTTTTTTGGGGGGGGGGCTAAAGTGGCAACTAAGATTACAGACACATCTTGATCACAAAGAATAGCTTCACGATGTTAACAGGCACCCAGAAATTAAAATGACTTTTGTCCCTAATTTGCTTCTTACACAACCTATGGAAGCTCAATGACATCGAAGTGAAAAAGTAAAGGGCAACCCAGTAACACAATCAATACAACAATTACCATGGTTCTATAAAATGTTGAGCAACTGAAATGGAGTTTATGCAAACAAAAATGTGACAAGAAAAATCAAAAAGGAAGAACTCTTTGTTTTCGATCTCATTGTACACTCATCTACAGCAGTCCAATAATATTTTTTTCTCCTCATTATTTCATTTTTCACTTTTCAATCTTCCTTGCAGAAACAAGAAAAAAAAAAGCCCTACCTACTGGGAGCTCGAGTGAAAAACTGTGGACATTCATGATGTGCCAAACCTGGACAAAGCTGACTGGAACAAAGTAGAGAATGCTTGAGACATGCTCTGATCATCAGCTTTGATAGTTATTTGTGTTTTAGCTGATGATGTGTTGATTTTACACTCTATAAGAAAG